CTCAGCCCACTGGCCCTCCTGTTGTACTCTTCGATAACCTTCTTCATAGTCCACTATACCAATAATTTTGGGGTCATCCGCAAACTTACCAACCATGCATCCCATACTCTCAAATTGTTTATATAAATGATGATCAACAGTGGATCTAGCACCGATCCTTGCAGCACACTGCTGGTCACAGGCCTCCAGTCCAAATAACAATGGTCTCTTTTACTATCAAGCCAATTTTGTATCCAACTGGCTAGTTCTCCTCGGATCCCAAGTGATCTAACCTTATTAACCAATCTACCATGTGGCATCTTGTTAAAGTCCATGTAGACAATGTCTACCACACTGCACTGCCCTCAGCTATCTTCTTGGTCACCTCTTCAAAAAGCACCTCAATTAGATTTGACAGACAATTTCCCAGGTGCAAAGCCATGCTGATGATCCCTAATCACTCCCTACCTTTCCAAATGCATGTAGATTCTGCCTCTCAGAATCTCCTCCAATAACTTAACCAGCACCGATGTGAGGCTCACTACTCTGTGGTTCCCTAGCTTTTCCTTGCAGCCTTTCTTAAATATGGCACATCAGTCACCCTCAAGTCTTTCCTCTTCTCACCTCTCCTCCCTGGAGATGCCCCATTTCTCCAGTCTCTCTCCTCCCCCAGACTCCCCACTCCTCCTTTATTTCAGTATTACCAGAGCCCACCATGTTTAAAGATGTTGAAGAAGGGGATTTCCTTGGGGACTCCATGCCACTGGGGCTATCACCAACTGAGTGACAGTGGTTACAGTTTCTATGGCTGCAGGCAAATGCAACTCAAAAAGGTCAAAATGATTGAATGAAAAGCAAGAAAAAAATTTTAAAAAGCAAAAAATGCTGAGTTGAAGGACTACAGGGTTGTATACAGTGCTTCATTTGTGCAGGAAATAATGCAAAAGCTTATAACTACAAGGAACATATCTTTGAAGTACCGACCATTTAAAGTGTAATTTAACAGGTGGTTTACAACATTGTTCACCTACTAATGTTTGAATTATGTTGACTTTACTTGGTTTGTTACAATAGAAGTTTCATAAAGTTAAATCTTGTCCAGCAGTTTTCTTTCCATTGATGCATGGTAATGTTGGTTTACCAGACAGTTTTGAGCAGGCAAAAGACAAATTTCCAAAATCAGCGAGCTAGTGAAAACTGGCCTTGGTTGTCTATCAGTAAAATAATGGAAATAAATCCTTCAAATGTTTTAAGTTCAGATCAAACATTCATTCGTTGTCAGTTTGTTTAGGTGAGGTGGACAGGCAGCGCCAAAGGGATTATTCAACCAAAATTGCAAACATCTGATGACAAATGAAAATTCAAAGCATACAAATTAAGATCACTGCAGATTGAGAATTTTCCTTTTTATAAAGATAAAGACCGTAAGATGGAGGAGCACAACTAGTTTATTCAGTCCATCTAGTCTGTTCTGCTATTCATAAGTGACCTGATTTTCCCCTCAAATCCACTTTCTTGCCTTTTCCCCATATTCCTTGATTCCTTTACTAATTATGTACATTCAAGGGTGTCACAGTTAATGAACCAGCCTCAACAGTCCTCTGCGGTTAAAAAAAAATTCCACAGATTCACAACACCCTCCCCATCTGCATATAAATTTGTAAGACCTTCTCCCAAGATTACGCCCACGGATTCTAGACTTTGCCACAAAAGGAAACAACTTTTCCACATTTAACTTGTCAAGTCCCCTAAGAATCTTGTATGTTTTAACATGACCACCTATCTTTTTTTGATATTCCGAAGAGTACAGGCCAAACTGACTCACCCTCTCCTCATAAGTCAGTCACGCCATACTGGTATCAGCCTAGTGAACCTTCTCTGGACCGCCTCCAGTGTCAGTACATCTTTCTTGACATAGTCCAGCTGTGCTCTGACTATTGCTTAGTTTTATATATCTCCCTACCTTTATACTCCAATCCCTTTGAAGTAAAGGCCAAAGATTCCAGTCAATACATATTATGTAAAGCAATTACATAATGACCGAGCCTCATTAAGTTATCTACACTAGCTGCAGAAGCACTTTCCAGTGGCCCCTGCAAAGACACAGCCACATGCAAGCTGGATTTTCTTACGTCAGCAATTTGAGAGCTATGTCTAAAACTACCAAAATCTGCCACCTGGTGGCTTTAGAAAAACTGACTGCAAAAATCATATTCTGAATTTGCAGACAATTTGCTGAGATGCATGAACTTAAGACTTTGATTATTCTTCATGTTATTATCTCTTTCCCCACTTTCATTCAGGCTCATCGAATCAATGTCTATCATTCACTGCCTACTTACATTTCACATACTAGCCCTATTGTAGCGTCTGCCTCCCTGTATCTGACAGTTTATCACTTACCTTTACCATTTGTTTCCCAGTATTCTTGTTTGACATTCATACATCTTATGATGCCCCATACATTACATTATAAATATATATTCCAACTTAGTCTGATGGGATTTTCAAAAAAGAACATTGTACAATTTGTCTGATTTCACTCACCAAAGACTGTTTTCCCAAAGGAAATTATCCAATAAGGACCAAACGCAGCAAGTAATAAGAGAGAAATAAAGATTGTTTGGAAGTAGAAGGATAAAGACACTGGAGTTAATTTACTTTCCTTCTTAATTAGAATCAACCTGCTTCTAGCTAGCCAGTGCGTGCACTTTCCAACCTTATCCAAATGTAGAATATTTGTTGCATATACAGTTGCTGCTAAAAACTATTGCAAAAACTACTGGGGGGGAAAGCCAAAAGAACTGCAGATACTGGAAATCAGAAACAAAAAAAGAAATTGCCGAAAAAGCTCAGCAGTTCTGGCAGCATCTGTGAAGAGAAATCAGAGTTAACATTTCAGGTCCAGTGACCCTCCCTCAGGACTGTGGGAGGGAAAACAACCATTGTATTTAGATGAAGAAGTCGCATAGTGATAATGTCACTGGACGAGTAATCCAGAATTCCAGTCTAATGGTCTGGGAATAACTTTGAATCTCACAGTTGATGCAAAATTTGAAATTCAATGAAATTCTGGATTTAAAAGCTAGCATAACGGTAACCATGTAATCATGCTCATTTTACATAAACTGGAACAGAAATTTAACTGGATTTAACATGTAAATACTAGGTCTACAAGATCAGGTCAGATGCTAGGAATCCTGCACCAAGTGACTCACCTCCTAACTCCCCAGAGCCCGTCCACCATCTGCAAGGCACAAGTGAGGAGTGTGATGGAACACTCTCCACTCGTCTAGGTGAGCGGAGCATCAACAGCATTCAAGAAGCTTGACACCATCCAGGACAAAGTAGCCGCTTGATTGTTACCATATCGAAAATATCCACTCCCTCCACCATGCTCAGTTGCAGTAGTAGATACATCACCTCCAAGATGCAATGCAGAAAATTCACCAAGGCTCCTTATAGACCCACAACCACTACCACAAAGGAGGACAAGGGCAGCAGATATGTGGGAATACCATCTGCAGAGATCCCTCTCTAAGACACTCACCATCGTGATTTCGAAATACATCATCGCTCCTTCAGTGTCACTGAGTCAAAGCTCTGGAACTCCCTCACTAACGACATTGTGGATCTACCTAAACCAAATGGACTTCAGCAGTTTAAAGGCGGCAGTTCACAAGTAATTTCTCAAGGGTTTGAATAGGGATGAGCAATAAATGATGAGACCAGTCAGCAATGTCCACACATCATCACCGAATTATTTAAAAAACCCACCTAGGTCACCAGTGTCCTTCAAGGAAAGAAATCTGCTGTCCTTGCCTGGTCCGGTCTACATGTGATTCCAGATTCATAGCAATATGGTTCACTCTTAAATGCCTACAAAACTGGTGCTTACAAGCCATTCGGGTCAAAAGCTATTAGAAACGGACAATAAACCAGCCGTATAAAAATGTATTTATCATTAAAAACATTCAATGTCTTTTTAAGATATTCTTGAAGAAACCATCACCTTGAATAGCTGTGAGTACTCTAGTTCATAAAGGGTTAAAGTATTAAAACAACTTACTACTTGCAACAAAAATATCAAAATCTGAGAATTCAGTATTGCAATACTACAAAACACACAAGGGAGGCAAGCTGGTAGCAACATGGATCACTGTGTCAAAATGAAATTGAATTCACTCTTCAATAAATACAAATATGCTGTGTTTGGAAATATTTTTCTCCATTTGTTCTTACTCCACTGTTTTTTTTCTCCTGAAAGCAATAGTATGCCTTGTATTATGACAAGGTTAACATTCACCTTGCAGCACTTCATTCAGGTAGACATTTGTCACTGATGAATTTAAACAGCTAGTGTTTGCTGCTCTGACGATTTAAGCCTTCACAGGTGAACACTACATTTTTCAGCAAATGTCATTTTGTTGTAAGAAAATATCAATTGATACCACTCAGTAGAGAGAATCTCTGACTATCCCTCTTTCTTTCTCTCTACTAAACATCAACAGCTGAGAATAATTGTAGAAAGTTCATCAAATGAACTTAAAATATAGTATAAATGGCCTAAAACTGATGAAGAACAAATACAAGTGTCTTTGCCATCAACTTTGCAACTACTCCAATATAAACTGGTACTGGATTGCTTTCAAATTTTTTAAAATTCATAACAGATTGTGGGCATCACTGGCTAGATCAGCATTTATTGCTCATCTGAAATTACTAGGAGGGCAGTTAAGAGTCAACCACATTATTGTAGATCTGGAATCACACGTGCGCCAGACCAAGTGAGGATTTCAGATTTCCTTCCCTAAAAGGACATTAGTGAGTCAAGTGAGATTTTCTAACAATTGACAAGTTTCATGATCATCATTAGACTCTTAATTCCAGGCCTTTTTTGTTAATGAATTCAAATTTGAAATCTGGTCCCCAGAACATTACAAGGGTCTCTGGATTAATAGCTTAGCGATAATCATTAGCAGGTCTCTCAGGCTCAGTGAATTCTGGCACAAAGTTAAAAAAAAGTGACTAAAAAAGAAAGCTATTTACACTACAATTCCTTTATTACAAGTCTGAAAAATAACTGATATTTATTTACCACGCACCTACACGTATCTTGATTTTTAGAAACTTCTCTTTTAACCTCAAGCAGGGGGCACTTACCAGAGTTGAAGTACTCGGAAGCTAGCTCTGAGTCAAGAGCAGTGATGGCTGGGCTTTCTGGTGATAATCTCTTTTCCTGTGTCATCTGGATCGGGACTGCCATCTGACTGAGGTCAATAGTAGGCTGCCGAGATTTAGACTCCAACTTTTCTTTACCTACACCAAATGCAAACAAAGAAATGTCCAAATCATTTTCCTTAGACCAAATGGCTCACCAAAATTGATTCAAACACACTGCTCAAAACTTGTCTACACTGGATCAATACCTGCAAGCATAAACTTTTCAGCAGGAATTACTGGATTCTACTCTCTAGCGGGAACGCTGACTGATTTTCTCACATCAAATGAAATCAGTTGAGTCAGTGCAGACCAAAAGCCAGTACAGATCACTATCCATTCACTATCATGTGAAAGTCAAATACATGGGTTTGGTTAAACATCTTCTAATGAAAATACAATACATCAAGTCATGGGGATACAGTAAAAATGTAAATATACAAAAGTAAGTTTGAATAAAGTAATAGGCGAGTAATAGCTGGTACCGTATGATCTTTAATGCACCCGCCTATGCCAAGGAAATTAAAACCATAGAGATTGCAGGGCAGAGACTAGTCATGGCTACACTAGCAATGGGAAACTATAATTAATAAGGATAGCCTTGAAATACTGGGACAAAGCTCACTGGAGCAAAAAAAGGCAAGAGAAGATATTATAAAGACTTTCAATTTTGAAGGCTTTTAGTATTGCGACTGCGAAGAAATTCACCTCTCTACTTGGTAAGTTAGCGACAAGGGACCATCAATTTAACTCATCCCCAAAATGAGAGGCACAGGAGAAATTGCTTTGCACAGAGTTCTAAAAGAGCACTAATTGCTTGGTTACAAGATATCATTGAGGCAGAAACCACTATCTTTGGAAAAAAGCAAGTAAATATTTCACAAACAAAAAAGCCAGGCTATGAAAATAAAGTGAGAATGGCAGCAAGATTAGTTTTGAATTGCTGCAGCAAGAACTGGTGCATACATGGTGGACTAATGACCCGTACTAAAAACATAATTGAGATGCTTCAACAAACTTGTCACCAGTCACGCCTATAATCACTGCAATGAAGAGCAGGCTACTGAACTGAAACTGAACAGAAGCTATTACATTTTTCTAAAATCGCGTCCTCTTTCGCTTCATAGTATAAACAATTCCTTCACCAAATAAAGTGATATAAGTAACTGTAATAGAATGCTTTTTGGCAATCAGTATTCAGTTATAGCTACCTAAACTAACAGTAATGAAGCACCATCTTTTATAATTCCTTTCAGACAATAAAAAAAAAAGTTATCAGCTCTTTTAACTCTGTTCTTAACGTACAACCACTGATAGGTGGTTTTGGTTGTTTTGAAAAGCATTAAAGGTAGGCAAGTTCCCAAGACCTGATGGAATCTATCCCAGAATACTGGAGGGAGGGAAGCAAGAAATTGCTGGGGCCTTGTACGAAATCTTTATCTTCTTTAGTCACAGGAGAGGTCCCAGAGGAATGGAGAATTGCTAAAGTTGTTCATTTGTTTAAAAAGGCAACAGGGATAATCCAAAAAATTACAGGCTGGTGAGCCTTACTTCAGTGGTAGGAAAATTCTTGGAGAAGGTTCTTACGGTCAGGATTTACTCACATTTAGAAAAATATGGACTTATTAGCACTAGGCACCATGGCTTTGTGCAGGGGAAGTAATTTCTCAATCTTGATTGAATTTTCTTTTGAGGAAGTGACAAAGACGAATGATGAGAGCAAGGTAGTGGATGTTGTCTACATGGACTTTAGCAAGACCTCACATGGCAGGCTCTACAGAAGGTGAGTCATGTGAGATTTCCAGCGATCCTACTAAGATGGATACAGAGCTAGCTTGATCATAGAAGACAAGAGTAGCGGTGGAAGGGTGCTTTTCTGACTGGAGGTTCTGCAGGGACCCTTGTTGTTTGCATTATATGAAATGATTTGGAGACGAATGTAAAACTGGTCTGATAAATAAGTTTGTGGATGACAAAGATTGGGGAGCTGCAGATAATGAAGAGTATTGCCAGAGGTTACAACAGGATACAAACAGGCTGGAGATTTGGGCAGAGAAACAGCAGATTGAATTTAATTCAGACAAACATGAGGTGAAACATTTTGGAAGTTCTAATGCAGGAGGGAAGTACATAGTAAATGACAGAACCCTTAGGAGAATTACAGAAGGATCTAAGCGTTCAGGTCCACAGTTCCCTGAAAGTGGCAACACAAGTGGATAAATAAGGTGGTCAAGGCAGCATACGGCATGCTTGCCTTGATTGCTTGAGGCACAGAGTATAAAAATTGGCAAATTACAGCTGTATAGAACTTCAGTTAGGCCACATTTGGAATATTGTGTACAGTTCTGGTCGCCACACTACCAGAAGGTTGTGGAGGCTTTGGAGAGGATACAGAAATGGTTTACCAGGTCATTGCCTGGTTTGGAGGGTATTAGCTATGAGGAGAGATTGAACACATGGTTTGTTTTCACTTGAACATCACAGGCTGGGGAACAACTAAATAGAAATTTATAAATTGATGACAGGCATGGATAGAATGGATAGCATATCAGTTACTGGGGAAAACAGGTTTAAAGGAGATGTGAGAAACAAGTTTATTTTTTAAACAACAGAGGGTGCTAAGAACCTGGAATGTGCTACCAGAAGAGATGTAGAACCAGATGCAACAGCAATATTTGAGGCATCTTGATAGTTGCATGAATAGGCAAGGAAGAGAGGGATATGAACTGCATTGAAGCTAAAGGTTTTTAGTTCAGAAAGGTGTCGTGTTGGTGCCAGCTTGGTGAGCCAAAGGGCCTGTTCCTGCTGTACTGATCTTTGTTCTTTCTTTATTCTGTACACCAGGGCAAACAACGCAAAAATTGGTAAGCAACCAAATTTACCTACAGCTATTTCACACCATAATCAGCATGGAATGGGTGGGAGTCTTAGAACATATTGTCAACCTGCTAGGTTCCTGCAAAGCAATAAGCTAGAGTTAAAGGAATGAGGGAGGAAAGGCACAGACACACGGACAATCAAAAAAAAGAGTTGAATTCCAGAGGTGAGATGAGAGTGACAGCCCTTGACATCAGGCCATATTGGATAGAGTGTGGTACCAAAGAGCCCTAACAAACCTAGACTCAAGGGGAATTGGTGAAAATTCTCCACTGGTTTGAAAAACACCTAGCACAAGGAAAATGGTTATAGCTGCTGGAAGTCAGTCATCTCAGCTCCAGGACATCACTACAGGAGATCCTTGGGGTAGTATTCGATACCAGATCGTCTTCAGCTGCTTCATCAATGGCCTTTCTTGAAGTGAGAAGTGGGAATGCTCACTGATGATTGCACAACACTCAGTGTCATTCGCAACTCCTCAGATACTGAAGCACTAAGTCCCAGACGATATGAAAGGCATGGGCTAACAAATGGCAAGTAACATTCACACCACACAAGTGCCAAGCAATAACCATTTCCAACAAAAGCAATTCCAACCATTGTTTCTTGACTTTCAATGGCATTACAATCACTATTTGCCTCCTGAGAGGCAACATCTTCGGTGGTTATCATTGACCAGAAATTGAACTGGACTAACCACAAGAAGACCACAAGAACCAGGACTTTTGAAGAGTTACATCTGACTCAAAACACTAACTGTTTCCCTCTCCAAAGATGCTGTCAGACCTGCTGAGAGTTTCCAGCATTGTGTTTGTAATCACATAAATACTGTTGTACAAGAGCAGACCAGAGGATAGAAATCCTGCAGCAAGTAATTTATCGCCTGGGATCGCCACCATTCTGCATAAAGCAGCCTATGACTGACATCAAATTTGCAAACATTGACTCCTTCCATCATAGAGTAGTAGCACCATTGACAAGATGAGGTGCAGAAATTCAACAAAGTTCCTTAGACAGTGCATTCCAAACACACAACTTCTACCATCTAGAAAGACAACAGCAACAGATACATGGAAACAATCACCACTTGCAAGTTCCTCTCCAAGCTACTCACCATCCTGATTGGAAATATAATCGCCATTCCTTCACTGTTGTTGGGTTAAAATCCTGGAACTTCCTCCCTAAAGACATTCTCAGAGTACCTACAGCAAATGGGCTGCAGTGGTTCAAGAAGGCACTTCACTACCACCTTCTCAAGAGCAATAGGAATGGGCAATGAATGCTGACACAGGCAGTGAGGCCCTGATCCCCTGAATAAGAAAAGTCTAGCAAACACAATTCATTGAAGTGCCACAGCCTGGATAGTAATGAATTAAATTCCGTACAGTAACTTCTTTCATGGTCAGAGAAGGAAGGTGGTGACAGAGTGCTAATGTCACTGCACTAGCAATCCAGAACCTCAGGCCATTGATCAGGGGACATAGGTTTAAGTCCTACAAAAGCAGCTGGTAAAATTTTAATTCACCAAAGATTTGGAATAGAGTTGGCCTACTGCTGTCCATGTAACCTATGTCAATTGTTGTACAAAGCCATCTGGTTCATAAATGCCCCTTTGGAAAGAGACTCTGCTGTCCTTATCTGGTCTGGCTTACCTATGATTCTAGACCCACAGGAGCATGGTTGACTCTTAACTGCTCTCTGGGCAATTAGGGGTGGGCAACAAATGCTGACCTAGCCAGTGATGCCCACATAAACAAGTTAAAAATAAGCTTAGAGCGACACACCTCCAGCACTTTAAGGCAGAGGCATTGTTTTTTCAAATGACAAATGCAGGCTGTTTGGTCACATGGTCAGTTGAACTGGTTGGGAATTGGTGGGGTAATTATTGTAACCTCGGAACTCTGGAATTTCAGTAACCCGGGACATAACAGCCCAAGATTCAGGACAAGTTAATGGAACTTTAGCTAATGAAAGTTGTTTGATCACACTTGGTCTAATGCCTCATTCCTCTTGCATTTTCTCATTTTATTTTGTTCTACCTCTCCTATCATAAGGCTTAGGAGCCTCGACACATTCACTACCCTCTAAGAAATATTCCCCTTTAGTGGATGACCACTTACTCTGAGATTGCACTCTTTGGTCAGTCTCGCCCACAAGAGGAAACAACCTCTTCCCATTTACCCAGTCAAGTCCCTTCTAAATCTTTAATGTTTCAGTAAGGTCTCCCGTCATTCTTCAAATGAGTACAACTCGACTTATCTCTCCTCACAGTCCCTCCATATCCAGAATCAATATAGTGAACCTTCTTTGGACTGCCTCCAATGCCAGTACATGTTACCTTAGATAAGGGGCCCAAAACTAGTCACAGCATTCCAGCTATGATCTAACTAGTGCCTTGTAAAGGTTTAGTAAGACTAGGCAATAATTTTATACTCCTCTCCCTTTGAAATAAAGGCCAACATTCCATACGTCTTCTCTCTTGCTCGTTGAACTTGGATGCCAGTTCTTTTTGTGATTTATGGACAAGGATCCCAAATCCCTCTGTGCTGCAGCTTTCTCCATTTAAATAACATTCAGGTCTTCTAGTCTACCTGCAAAAGTGCATAACCTCATACTTTCCCACATGACATTCCAAATGTTAATGTTTTTGACTACTCACTTAACCTGTCCATATCCCTCTGTAGATTCTGTGTCATTTTTGTTTTTTGAATTCTCAACAAGTTTTTGTGCCATCTGCAAACTTGGCAATAGCACCTTCACTTCCCCCATCCAAATAATTAGCATAGATTGAAAAAATTCACTTTAATCCAACTGTGCCTCCTACTGGTTAGCCAATTCTTAATCGATTCAAATAGACCATCGTTAACACCATTGGCTCTTAGTTTATTCCAAGATGGTGGTAAAGTAGGATTCCTCAGCTAGAGCTCATCTGCTGCGTCTGTTTATTTTTTCTCTTCTTTATTTCCCCCTTTTTTTTATCCCTCTTCTTTCCTTCTCAGCAATATCCTGAACTCTTGACCTGAGCGCAGGAGCAGCGTGGCTGTCTCTTGGCGGCCTGGCATGGGCTCAACGGACACTTCCAGGCTTGAGATGATTCCAGGGCAGTCTCCTGGCCTCGAGGCGAAGGCCTACATGGTCTGGAGTCAAGACCCGGCGCAGATTAGAAGCCAAGTGCCAGCATGGACTGGGTTGGAAGGACTGGTATTCTGAACTTTTGATTTCTTTATTTTTCTAGATATTTTCCCCTAAGAATTTGTACTTAAGAATCTGTAGCCAGGTACCTTCGTACCTTATAACAACCAAAAGAACTAAGGATGCTGTAAATCAGAACAGAAGTTGCTGGAAAAGCTCAGCAGGTCTGGCAGCATCTGTGAAGGAAAAAATCAGAGTTAACATTTCGGGTCCGGTGACCCTTCCTCAGAACCTGTGTCCCTTAGTTGGTGCCATAAGTCATGACTTCTAAACTTTTCACTGTACTCATTTGAGTACATGACAATAAAGCTAATTCTAATTCTTTTAAGTAACCTTGTATGTGTTACTTAGACACCTTTTGAAATCCAAATATATTACATCAACTGTACCTCTGACAGTGCATGTTTCCTCCTCAAAGAATTCCATAACAATACCATTTCAAAATTATCCATCTCTATCACTGTCCCAAGTATGATAAAAATACAATTTTTGTTTAAATCAATGGAGATAGCTTCACAGTTTTACTCCTGGAGTCAGTAACGTCTCATTATCAAATGATTTTAACTTCCATCCCAACTTATCATGTTTGCTCTCCCGTGAGGTCACTGCCCTCTTACCCTCCCTAAACCTTGCTTTAGTGTAAATGTACCATATTCACTTTCATTCTTGTCATCTGGCCATCCTACATGGACTTGCTAGTCCAACTGTATAGATACGTCATCTCTGATAAGTTCCTTCCATTGCTCCCCACTTACATCTGCATTCTGTGCCTCAAAACATCCTTCTGTATTCCTGCCTGAAAAGAAACAATTCCCCAGTTGACCAGCTGGGGTACCTTCAAAATCTCAACTCTCTAGCCTTAAATCCTCCATCACCACAATATTTCTGCAGACTCTGCTTTGCTTAATCTCGCCTTTCCTTCCTAGCCACAAACTAAAGCACTGATTTCTCTCATTAAGGCTGATCCCCAAGTATGACCCCGCATTTCTGATCCTTTAAGGCCGAGGAATGCACACTTCAAAAGGATATAGTGGACAAGTGGGTTAGGCATCGTCTGGTCTGGCTGGACCACTGACTATGTTCTTCTCTCCCATCCACTCTCACCTTCAAAAAGGCATGTGCAAAGGGCTTCTTTGTTACCAAGATCGAGGCCAACCAATTAGACGTCCCACCACAGTACTGAAACTGCTCTTAAGGTCACAGGTGATGTTCTGTGCGACTGTGGCAAAGGTAGACTTTCCTTCCCTGTCATTCTCAATCTGTCTGCAGCCTTTGCATACTGATCACACTATCCTCCTCCACCTCCTCTCCACCGCCATCCAGCTGGTGGGTTGCACTCAACTAGTCCCAATCTCATCTTTTTAAGAGACACCAGAGAATCATTTGCTTCTGTTCCTGGCCACATACCACTGCCTCAGGTGTCCCACGAAGGATCCATCCTTGGCTCCTTCCTATTTCTCAGCCGCATTTCACAAGGTAAGCTTCAAATTTTGTATTTGCGCCATCTCTGACATTTTCACCTCCATAAAATTGCTTGAGCCAGCCTCTGTCTCAGCTCTTCTGTTGCTGAAACCATCATTCATGCCTTAGTTACATTTAGACTTGATTATTTTGTCACACTCTTGGCTGGAGTCCCATGTTCTACTCTCTGTAACCTTGAAGGCCATCCAAAAATGCACTGCCCGTGCCTTAACTTGAAACATATTTTGTTCCAATCTGTGCTCACTGATCTACGTTGGCTCCTGGGAAGTAACATAGTAATTTTAAAATTCTCATCCTTGTTGTCAAATACTAACATAGCATTATGTCTTTCTAACTCTAAATTCTTGCAACCCCACACCCTTCACACGGTGGCTCAGCGGTTAGTACTGCTGCCTCACAGCGCCAGACACCCGGGTTCGATCCCAGCCTCGGGAGACTGTCTGTGTGGAGTTTGCACATTCTGCCCGTGTCTGCGTGAGTTTCCTCTGGGTGCTCCGGTTTCTTCCCACAGTCCAAAGATGTGCAGGTTAGGTGGATTGGCCATGCTAAATTGCCTGTAGTGTTCAGGGATGTGTAGATTAGGTGGGTTATGCGAGATGTGTCTGGGTGGGATGATCTGAGGTTCAGTGTGGACTTGTTGGGCCAAAGGGCCTGTTTCCACACTGTAGGGGTTCTATGGTTCTATATCTGCACTCCTCTAATTCAAACTCGTCTGCATCCCTGATTTTAACTGTTCTACTACTGGTGGCTGCCTCAAACCCTAAGCTCTGGAATCCTCTTTTTCCATCTCTGTGCCTCGCTCTCCCTTAAAACCTACTACTTCACATCAAACATTTCGGTTATCTGACCTCACATCTCCTTTAGATGGTTCAGTGTCATGCTAGATAATGAAGGGTCTTGCAGTGTTTTATTAAAAGCGATACAGAAATATAAAATGTTGTTTGCTAATGTTTGCTTCAATCTCCCTGTACACAAAGTAAAAATTTGGATGGCTGAAGGGAAATTCAATTTCCTTAAACCTGTCCATTTTTTAGAATGAAAGCATTTGTCCACTTTTCCACCACAATACTTCTTCCCACATTGTAAGAAATTTAAGCCAGCAGTTAAAAAAGATGCACACCTGTCTGCTGGAGTTCCAGCAGTGCTTTAATGGTGGAGGTCGCTGATTGGGGTTCTCCAGAAACATCCTGGTAGATAATTGTGGGGCTGGTGTCCATGGCAACTTCGTGTTCGGCCCAGTCCTGGCTCCTTGATGAAATAACATGGACCACTTGCTGAGAGTCTGCAATTAAAAACACAATTTTATTAAAGTTGCAGAACCCTCAAATCTGAACTTCTACTTTGCGAAACAGGAAGCCGACATGTTTAGAATATTATGTTGTAACTGGTACAATGACAGCTTTCGTTATTCTCTTCACATATACAGCTATAAACATCTAAACATGCTTCTGCGTGCACACCCACATACATGCTCCATTTGCATAGATACGAAAACACGCTCACCCTCACATAGATGCACATGCACACGCCCCCCAACATATATTCATGCAAGTGTGCGGACGCACATGCGTACGCACAGATACATCTACGTATAGTCAGTTCTCCTGACTGCTCAATTGATAGCAATAGTAGGTAAGTAAACTGTGCAGACTATTCCAAGCTTGTGCTGAGTTCACTGATCTCAGCTGCAGTACTTGCGTCAGCATTCAGGAGCAAGTCAGCCAGGTTTCTGTTCAATTTTTAAATTATAGGGTTCTGTACAATTGGATTACAAATTTTCTCAATCAACCTTCTATTTAGGCATGTAATAACACACCTCTGGAGCAGGTGGGACTTGACCCAGGCTTCCTGGTCCAGTAGTAGGGACACTACCATGCACCACAAGAGTCCATCAGGTTCCTGTTCAAGATCTTTTATTTGAGTACAATAATTTAATTATCCCTTTGATCAAACATCCCATTAAATCTCACTGTTTTGATTCTCAGAGGAAATAAATGCTGTTGAAAATCAAGGTCCTTTAGAATGAATTAACACATTTAAGATAAAGAGGGGAAAAATGATGTACTTCTTAGGGAAAACAATGGACTGATGCATAGGTACTGCATTAGGCCATTAAGTTCCTAAGCCTGTTTCACAACTACTTCTATCAGTTTATGGCTGGTCTTTAATCAACAAATCTCTATTTCTCTAACTTGATCAGCTTCCTAATTTCAATCACAATGGCTTAGTTCTAGCTTTAAGACTAAACCATCATTTTCTGAATTTACCATTACTTCTCAATGCCCACTCTTCTAAAATATTACTGTAATTGTCAGAAATGGACTTTTAAAAATCATTCTTATATGAATGTGATGGACAGCTGCTAACTTTCACCCCTTAAACTTCAAAATTTTGGAGAATAAAAGGCAGTTTTAAGCAACCTATCCTTGTAACCTAATGCTTTCACAGCAGGGGCTCTTGCGAAGCAATGGTAGAGTTCCTACCTCTAGGCCAGGAAGCCTGGGTTCAAGTCTTACCTGCTCAACACTTATAACAATATCTCTAACCAGGTTGATTAGAAAATATATAATCCTTTCTAAGCACAGATAAATAGAAAATAGGCCCAACATACCCAATCACCATTTTCAAAACACCATACTCTTGCTCTCTCTCCATACACCTTGTCACCTTTAGCTTTCAAAAATCTATTTCTTTCTTAAATATATTCAGTAAGCTCATCCCCATAGCCTGTTGTTCACAGGTTCACCACTGACTGAAGTAACTTCTCCTCATGGCAGTTCAAAACTATAACCCCTTGTCCGGACCACCTTAGATAAGGAGACCAAAATTACACTTAATGCTCCAGGTGTGATCTCACCAATACCCTCTATAACTGCAGTAAGACTTCCTTCTTCCAGTTCTCAAACCTTCTTGCAATAAAGGCAAACATAACATTTGGCTTCCTAACTGCCTGCTACACCTGCAATATTTGCCTTCAAAGACCAGCGTACAAGGGAACTCTGGTCCCTTTGTTCATAAACCTGTCTCATTCTGAAGCAAAACCTTTACTTATCCATGTTACATTGCATTCATCACATATTTGCCTACTCATAACTTGTCTGAATTATCCTGAAGGCTCTTTACATCCTCCTCATGATTTTCACTCCCTTGCAGTTTTGTGTTGTCCCCAAACTTGGAAAGTTTATTCTGACTCCGTTTTCTATCTGCTAACCAATTCTCAATCCATGCCAGAATATTACCACCAATCCTATTTGCTTTGATTTTGTACATTAACTTATGTGGGACCTTATCAATAAGGTTTCTGAAAATCTAAACAAATCACATCTACTATTCATCATCATTTATACTTCTCATTAAAACCTCAAAAATCTTCAGACTGCGAACATCAATTTCCTTGCACAAATCCATGGTGATTTTATGTAATACAGTAGCTATTTTTAAGTCTCTTGTTATCACATCTTTATAACAGACTCCAGCATTTTCCCTAGTACTGATGTTAGGCAAACCAGTCTGTAATTCCAGGTTTTCTCCCAACTTCCTTTTTATAAAATTAGTGGGGTTACATTGGTCCCTTTCCAATCTGCCAGGAATATTCCAGAACCTACAGAATTTTGAAAGATGCATCCACTATTTCCACAGCCACCTTCTTTAACACCTTGGGATGTAGATTATCAAACCCTGACCCAATAATTTCTCCAGCACTATTTTTTATTTACTAATTTCCTTAAATTCTTCCTTCCCACAAGATCCTTACTTCCTGAGCATTTCTAGAAAGTTTTATGTGCTTTCTTCTGTGAACACAGAACAAAAATAGTTGCTGTGCCATTTCCATGGTCCCCATTATCATTTCTACAATTTCAGGCTGTAAAAGTGAACAACTGTCATCACTAATCTTGCTCTTTTTAATAACTATAAAAGCTCTTCCAGTTCACTTTCAATGGTCCTTGCAAGTTTGGTCTCGTACACTATTTTCCCTTTTAAAATCAACCCCTTGGTTGCCTTTTGCTGAATTCTAAACTGTTCCAGATGCTCTGACTCGCTACAGTTTTGAGCGACTTCACTTTACTCCTCTTTGGATCTAATACCATCCTTAATTTATTTTGTTAACCATGTTTAGGCTATCTTTCTTGTTGTCTACTTTTGCCTGAAAGAAGTGCAACACATGAATTAATTCCTTATATATTAGCCATTTAAATCATGATATAATTCTGGTTGTTTATGCTAATGTAAACAGATGCCAACATCAGTGCATCTTAGTTTGTACAGTTACTTTGAGCTGTAAATTGGTTTTAGACATCAACAATTACCATGGAGTTACATAAATCTTTTTGATCCAAAAAATATGTTTTGGAGAATACCGAGATGTACCATTGGGAACATTGGGATGATATTAATTACTGGGGGGGTGACATTACATTCTCCAAGCAGATACACAAATTATTCATCGGTGCCACACAGTCTTGGTTAAGATTTATGAAATCAGTAAGCTAAGAGGTTATAAAAGTGCCGACCTCCCCAAATGATTAGCATGTCAAAGAGTAAATCAGAAGACAGTAGGAAGAAATGTAACTAAGATGGCCATTATTTTTAAAGATACCAAATAAGCATTAGGCTCACATTACCTAGCCAACCCAGATTAATCTTGTGCTGACCAGGCATTGCTAAGCCAATGAGTCCAGGATATCTCTGCTCACATGAAGGTAGTGACTAGCAAGGGTTAATCGGCAGTGACTCCTCGTAGTTGGGTGCACAAGAAAGGAAGACTGAAAGAAAACTTCAGTCGAAAGAATAATATTGAACAAGACATGTGCCCAGGCAATCAGTATTGCAAATATTATCCTGAAATGGGCCGACTGAAAAACAGTTTTTATTAAGCATTAAAGCTTTGATACTTTTGAAACAATTAACAAGTTCTGCAAAACTTGTGAAAGCAAGTACCTGGAATGTGTCTTGTAACGAATTAGGACTCAACTTTAAGATTGACTCTCTCAAACTCAGTTTGTAACTGTAACTGAGGGACTCTTGTAGTACAATGATGACATTCCTACCTCTGAGCCAGCAGGCCTGATCATAGAGTCAGAATCCCTAGTGTGGAAGCTGGCCATTTGGCCAACTGAGTCCACACTGACCCTCTAACTCTACACTTTTCCTTAATATTTGATCTCTTAAAGTGCAGCACCTCACACTTACCTGGATTAAACTCCATCTACCGTTTTTCCACCCATATCTGCAACTGCTCTATATCCCGCTGTATCCTTTGACAACCTTCTACACTACCCAAAATGAATCAGTTTATTTTCATACTGTAGGGAAGTGAAGCAAGTGTTCACACAGCGAAGCCAGCAAACAGCAATGAGACAAGCAACAATCTATTTCAGTGATGTAGACAGAGATAAATATTCATCAGCACACTGGAGAGAACATGGCTGATTTTCCCTGAACAGTGTCATGGAGCTTTCACATTCATTTGAGAGGAAGTCAGAAGCCTGGTTTACTGTTAAGGATGACACCTCCAGCACTGTAGCGCTCCCTTAAAACTGCACTAAAACATTAAGATAGGCTACAAGTCTCATGAATGGAGACTGAGCTGTCAAACTCTGTCTCATAAGTATGAGACTTAGGAGGTACGTATAATGACATTCAAGCCACTCACCACCCTGGCTTGGAAATTTATTACCATCCCTTCAGTGCTACTATTTCAAAATCCCTTGCTAACAGCATTGTTGACCTACTTATACCAAATGGACTGTAGCAGTTCAAGGCAGCTGCTCACAACCTTCTCAAAGGCAACTAGAGATGGGCAATAAATGCTGACCCGGACACAGACACCCAGAATGAATTCAGAGAAGTTATTGCAGAATAATTAAATTGCTTTCCTTCATTGCCTACTGAAACCTGCCTGCCCCATGTCCCCCCAAAAAAGTTAACTCTTCCAACCGATCCGTGATTAACATCATAACCAAGAACAACATGTTCAGGACTGCATGGGAGTAGTGCACATCTGCCAAATTCAGGTTGACTATGACTTCCACCCCCCTGCCCAAGTCAGATGTGAAAACTCGTGGTATAGGCCCAGCACATAGGAACTAGTTGCTACAGGGCAGCTATTTAATTATGTGTCAATGTCTTCCAAGGATTAGTGGAGATAACTGGGAAGCAGCAGCTCTAGTGGTGGAAAGATGGTTGTGAGGAGAACAACGACAACCATGGTGAAAAAAATTTAAATATTTTACTTCACAAATATCAGATTAAAAAAATGGTTTTCTCCATCAAAATCCTTTGATGCGCCTTAGAGCTCTGATTTTTCTAAAATAAGGGAACAGAAACTTGTCCCAATTTGTGTGGATAAAAGGTATCAATACCTTTGAAGAGATGCAATTAAACTTTTATCCTTGCCTGCAAGTGTAAACGTTAATTAACACAACAATAATACACCAGTATCCAATAAAAACTCAAGTTACTCAGCACTCTCAGCTCATCTATTCCAATTGCTATCACCTAAATTAAAATGGCAAAAGAATTAGAAACCTAAAGGATAAAACTTAAGTATTTAAAACCAATGATCCAAGAGACATCGCTAAGACTCAGCTCAGCAATCACAAAGGGATTCTACTCCACAGATGTAATTAGGCAACCTGCCCCGTAGGTTGAAGTTCAAGACTTGGCTCTAGAGGCTCACCTACCACATTGCTGACATGTTACAAAAACAAATTCACCTTGCAAGAATAAACAAGCTGACAGTGTATTATATTGACCTATTATATCTGCAAATTCTGTAGTAAAGTTGTATCAATTCATTCACAGGACGTGGGCATCTCAGCATTTATTGCCTATTCCTAATCGCTCCTAAGGCAGTTAAAAGTCAACCACTTCACTGTAGGTCTAGAGTCTTACATAGGCCATACCAGTTAGAGATGACAGATTTCCTTCCCTAAAAGACATCAGTGAACCAGATGAGTTTTTCCTGAAAATTGACAACAATATCTAGGGGAGGCAATGGCCTAGTGGTGTCACGAGACCGTTAATCCAGAGACCCAGCTAATATTCTGGGGACCCTCGTTAGAATCCTGCCGCAGCAGATGGTTGAAATTTGAATTCAATAAAGTGTCTGGAATTAAGAATCTTATGACGACCATGAATCCATTGCCGATTGTCGGAAAAACCCGTTTGGTTCACTAATGTCCTTTAGGAAAGGAAACTGCCATCCTTACCTGGTCTGGCCTACATGTGACTCCAGACCCACAGCAATGTGGTTGACTCTCAACTGTCCTCTAGGCAATTAGGAATGGGCAATAAATGCTCGTCTAGCCAGCGACACCCTCATCTCATGAATGAATAAAGGAAAAAAAAAACCATTAGACTCCTAATTCCAGATTTTTATTGAATTCAAATATCGCCATCTACCAAATTTAAACTTGGGTCCACAGAACATTAACAGGGTCTCTGCATAGTCTTGCTATAATACCATTAAGCTATTGCTTCACGTGAGCAAAAAATTTCTTACAACCTAACAATAACCAAGAGGGACCTAGGTGCCCGAGAGGATAAGAGCAAGGAGAGAACATGTCTATCCTCTTGAAAACCAGCACTCCATTGAAGAATAATACATATTATTATAGGCATCTGATACAAAATTAATTTCAACTAACTGCCAGCAAGTCACTAACAACTTACAGGTTGTATTTATGACTGATCTGATTGAAATGCTTTACTCACTCCAGTGGTTAGTATGAAGGATAAACCTTCACTGCATCATTCTAAGTTAATCAAAACTTTGCTCTTTAAAAAGATGCACTCATTTGTATCAACTCATCCTGCCAATAACATTTAATATACATACGTGCACACAGTTACTGTTTTCAGCATAACGAGTACATTGAACTGCATCAGTTTCAACAAAACAATTCCATTGGAACAGAAATGAGGTATGAAAACATGGCAAACAAAGTAGGAATTCTGCAATAGTCCTTTCAATTAAAAATAATTCCATATGATGAGTTGAAATGGATGACACCTTATAATCAAAAGATGAAACTAAAAAGGAGGAAGCAGATACAGAATACAAGAGACAAAATGTTGTGAATCACATCCCACATAGACTTACAAGTGGTCAGTTTTAAAATGTAACAGGGAGGGCACAATATCTGGACTTACTCAAATAATTATTTCGGGTTTTCTGTATCTCGATGTACGATCTGCTTTTGCCTAGTGTGACAATTAAGACAAAACAACAAGCAGGGGTTAAGGAAGACCACAAAGCTTTGCATTTCAAAATGGTACCTCAACAAAGCAAATTTCAAATCTATAATGCACTCAATCTTCACTTTATTCAATGATTACAAAACTAATTGCCCTGATCAATACTGAAAATGGTTCATAAACAAAGACAGCTTGTCACATATCAGACTATAGCGCACTCTGATCCACTAGATCAAATGTTGAGCCTGGCAGCACACTAATTAAGTTACAAAAACATCCTGTTAACTTCTTAAAACAATGCCTGCCTTTCACACGACCTTGTAAACTCCAGTCATTCTGAGATGAGTGAGAAGTCAAACTTAGCTGATTCTATTGTGTCATCTACCACTGGGAGGTGTGCAGGGATATATACAGAAGTCACTTGCATTTATCT